GATCGGGAGAGCACTGGGATCGGAAGAGCTTCGGGACAGAGGAGAGGGACTTCGGTCGTGGGAGAGGAAGACGGGATTCTCGTGTGGAGTCGAGCGTGGAGAGCAGCCGAAACCTTTCAGCTTATGCGGTATTTAACGACAAGTTTGGGAGCGAGATCGAGGAGAGGTCGCAGGATTTGAGCAGGAATCGCGGGATGCGACTCAAACGGCGCTGCACAGCGGGATTTCAGCTTGATTCCGGGGATTTACGGCAGCGTCTCGGCAGATTTTGTGGATCCGTCGGTCTCCGGGTTAGCTGAATTTTTTTTGTTCTTTTTGTTTCTTTATACAAAGGTCAACAAAATTCATCTATTGAATTAATTGGCCTTACATTTTCTTACAAAATAGTCATTTTTCACAGTACCATTTATTGAAAAGTACCTCGAAAATCTAAGTTTAATTATAATTTTATTTGGGATAACTTATGATGTGAAAAGTAACTAATAAAGATATATGTCCGCTTGGATGACAACTTATTCACAAATTCTCAAAACTTTATTTTGAAAAAAAATATATTTTTTGGAGAACATGATAGAAATTATGATTGAAAAAATAACTTTTGATAGGGAGAAAAATAACATAAACCGCTCCAAATGAAGCCTATCTCTTTTGTTGGAAAGGAATTTTAGTTGCATCCGAGCATTTTCAAAGACTCGCTGGCAAATAGCTCCATTTCTGATATATTTTGCACCTGAATTACAGTCAGGTGTCTCAATACTTCTGATCAACCTAAGCAAATCAACTGGTTTTAGTGTGACGGTTCGAAACAATCTAAATATTGATCTTGCAGAAGTTAGTGTTCTTAAACAGACAGTTTCATGGTATGGAGAGAAAGTTTATGATGGATCTGAGAGAAGAGAGGAATACCACTTAAGTGGAAAGGAAGGAAACTATCTTAGCAGGATAATGCTCCTTAATGGAAATCCTCTACAGCTTACAGAAGATGGAGAAATTCCAGAACTAAGTCCTGTGCTTACTGCAATCAATTCACCTATAAGCATTGCTCCTCTTTCTATTGCATTTGTTGTATTTCCAAATTTTGAAGCTAAAGCTTGTGCCTGATGAGTGTTAGTTGCACAGATGCAGCTAATAAAATGATGTTGATTGAGTTGATATGGTTTTGTTACAGTTTTTATGGGCAGATGTAGTTACTAATTACTGTTGATGAGAGATTAATAAATTAAGCTTGCAGAGAAGCTTAAAGGGCTGCTTGGAATTGCTTTCTTTTTGTTTTTTATTTATACTTTTTTTCTTTTTGTTTTAATATGAAATAAAAATATATTTAATATTATAAATAAGTGTTTTTTTGTGTTAGGTGGATCAATGGTGGGGGGGTGGGGGATGGTGTTCTGAGTGATTTTTATTTTGAAAAAAATGAGAATACTTTAAAATTATTTTGGGTATTTTTAAAATAAATTTTTTATTTAAGAAATAAAATATTATTTTTTGCGCACTTATTGTTGGAGTAAACATATTTTATTATTTTTTGTATACATATTTATATTCATGTAATTAGAGTTTATGAATGTCTGATGGTGGAGCCGTCATTCTTCTCTTATACCTATTTTTTTAATATAGTGAATTCTTCTTCTTTGTCTGTGATTTTTTTACCAGTTCAAAATTTTGTATGTAAAATTTAATGTTTCTTAATTATTTTGATTGTCTAATTCTGGTTCTTTCTAATTTTTCATTTAAGTTTTTTATTTTTGAATAAATAACAGTTTTTCAGACTTTGTCATAGTTAACGGAGCCTAATGTTGATACTTCAAGTGTTGAATTTGCGGGCAGCAATCCTATCTTTTATAAAGGCAAAATTCGGAGGTTGTTATCTATTTGTTGTATTATATATTTTATAATAAGAAACAGAAAATGCTGCGGAAAAAAAAGAAAAAAGATTTAACCTGAAAAAACTCAAATTGAGAAAAAAATCACTGAGCCTCACCATACCAAAAAATATGCTATAAAAATTTAGGAGAAATAGTACAGATGTCTCTTCTTTAAAATTAATTAATTAATTAATTAAAAAAATCTCTTCTGTCTCACTCTTTTCTTGTTTCTTCTCTCTTGTATCGTTCTCAACTTAAAACTAATTAAGAGATACACAACAACCACCAAGTGACGCAACTGATCTTAATAAAAAATATGAAAGAAAACTACTATGTCCACCTCGCAGTGCCGCAGGGCTCAATTATTTGTGTATGATAGTGCCGTAATGCCAAGGTATAGAGCGCCACAGTGCCCCCTCCCAGCATAGCGTTGCAGTGTCAAGGTTTGGAGCGTCACAACACTCTAATCTCTATCTTTTTTCACCAAACTATGCAGCGCTGGGGTGCTCGGGTACGTAGCTCTGGGACGTCTGGTGCAAAGCACCCGAACCCAAATTGGGGGTGAACCTCTACAACCACCTAGCGAGCCCGACAGACTAAATTAAGGTCTGAGGTGGTAGTACAACCAGATTGATCGACACAATCAAATTCCACACCAAACTAACAACTTCAAGTTGGAACCCTTCTAGGTTCTCTTATCAGGGCATTATTGAGGGACAATGATGAATAGGTGTTTTCATACCTGCCCCATCTAAACATTTTGTTTCCTTTCCTTAGATGGCCTCTTTGACAAATGGGAAGACTTACAGTTGATTCAAATTCAAATTTTGGTTTGGGTTTTTTTGGCCTATTTTGAGTTCATTTTAACTTATTTTTCATTCTAGCTTCATTATAGCTGTTTCCATTTTGCCGTGTTCACTTTGCCCACTGTGGCTTTTGTTTACAAATCCTATGACTATGGCGTTTCTATTGAGTTGTAATTTTCTTTTCTGTAGCTTCTATGCCTTTGGTGAATGTGGGTTGAGTTGTATGTTTTCTTTCATTACTTGCACTTTTAGTTTATAAAGAATGGATGGGCTCTTCCCTCAAAGTTCCCAATAAATAAAAAAAAAACTAAAAGGGAGTTGAATTAGAGGCTCACACTTCGAGAGTTAAGGGATGAAAGGGTTTTTAAGGTCGGAGTCTTAGGCAAATATAAAATAAAGCTTGAAATTTGGCATTCTGAGCCTAATGATCTGTTTGGTTTTATTTTTATGACTAAAATTAGGATAAAAGCTAAGACAACATAAGTTGTAAGCTGAGTTAATCTGTTGCTTGGTTCAAAAGCTGGGCTAGTATGAACTGTTGAACTTGTTTGGTCTTTTTCACTTTTTCTTACAACTTAAGCTCAACTTTTAGGCCAAGCCATATGAAAGGGTTCTAAGCTGGTTTTTTGTGCGCTTAGCTTGTCTGAGCTTTCCCCCTTAAGTGAAGAAAAGCCGTGTTTATAAAATCTGACATAATTGCATTTGGTTGAGCAATTTGTTAGTTTTGTGTGGAATTTGATTATGTTGATCAATCAAATTGTATTGTTGCCTCATACCTCAATTTCATCGGTCAAGCTTGTTGGGGGTTGCAATGGGTCTTCCCTCTACATGGGTTTGGGTGCAAAGAGTACAACGCAGCAGCGCTATATAGTGAAGAGAGACAATGAGAGAGTGAGACCCAAAGATATTGACAAATTTCTCTCAAATTTCATAGTGAATTTCTTGATGTAGTGTGGCTTCGTGGTTTTTTTTTTTTTTCCGGTTTCATATTTTTCTAAGTTAAATCCTAATGTTCTTTCTATTCGTTGCATTTTCTCTTTCTTATTTGTGTTCGTTGCGTGGTTTACTTCCCCAACACAATCAAACTTTAGCTTAACCCAAGAAAATTAAATAAGCTTGAATCAAACATCATTCACTCTACAATTTTGAAAATAGCTTGGTTGCAACTGTCATTCATCCTTTGTATGAACTTTAGTTCATTTAGGATAGCTTTCTTACAACTTTGTTTTTTAGAACACAATCTCAATTTTTATTTGGCCATTGTTTTTTCAGTACATTCAATAAATTTTTATATTATTACTATGTTTTTAGTTTTCTATAGTAGTGATATATCCTAAAAAAATTATCTTGATCGGGCACGAATCTTGAAGCAAAATCAAGTTCGAAACTTCAAAAATTAAATCCAAGACCATCCGAGCTCCTATTTTAGCAAACTTACAGTCTAATTGAACGTCTCGGAAATACGAACCCAATGACACCAAATTCAACTCAATCAAAGCCCAAATAAGTCTAAATCAAAGACCCGAAGCACATTTGGGTGGTTTAAACCATAATTTGGATTACCAATCCTTTTCCAAACGTGGCATGCTTATAGTCGAATCAAGTGGCTCGACGAGACGAATCCAACTAGCCCATGATCGTCGAATTCTGATATTATTAAGACATTCAAATGCTCAGTAAAAAATCCACGATCAAGGGGATCAACATCGGGCATCCATTCAAACCACTACCAACTTACCTTTGATCTCCCTCCTATTTACTAGTCAAGTCACTCTCAAAAAATTATAAATAGACCCCTCATTCCTCATGGGAATGGGGAGGAGGAAGGTGCCCGAAGCAAGGAAGGAAAGAAGAGATGAGAGGAAGAGAAACTTGAGTTCTCTTGCCACCAATTTTCTCCTCGACCACTGCCGTACTTTCACTCGACAGCCAATCGACGCCAGACTTCCTCCCAGCAGTCGACCGACACCGGGCTTCTGCCCGGCTACCGACTGACGCCAGATTGTTGCCCGGCCACCAACTGACGCCAGATTTCTGCCTGGCCACCAATTGACACCGGACTTTTGCCTGACCACTGGCTGACGCCGAATTTTTTTCCAGGCCAACAACTGACGTTGGACTTACACTTGATTGGCGACTGACGCCGAACTTCCATCCGACTTCCAATTATTCTTAGACTTCCACTCGACAACAGTCCTTCCGACCTCCATTGCCCGCAGACTACGGTTCTTCTGACCTCCATCACCCGCCGACTACCGTCCTTCCGACCTCTGTCGCTCGCCGAGTATGGTACTTCTGATCTCCATCGTCATACAACGATCTTTCCGACCTCCATCACCCATCGACTACGATCCTTCCAACCTCCGTCGCTCACTGACTATGGTCCTGCCGACCAAACAAACATGTCAATAGTGATTCTTCCCATGTAATGCACTTCATATGATATATATTTGTTACATCAAGCTAAGGCCTTCCCCCTAGGAAGGGCCTCATTTGTAATAGACTGCAAATACTAATGGATTCATTCAAACTGGGTTAGGCCTCATGGTTTTTTCCTTTTTCAGGGTTTTCCACATAAAATTTTTTGTATCTTTTATGAATGCTACACCATCTTTTTTATTTGCATGCGTGCTGGATCTTTATACAAAGCTAATACTTTAAATTTTTTATTTCTCTACTGCCTCGAATATTCTAGGACGGAACAAGTAGCTTTCAAAAACGTTGTTTTCTCCACAACAGTTTTACAACCACCTTTATAAAAAGCTATAGTTTTCCCAAATGGACCCTAAGATTGATGATTTTATTACCACTAAAATTTCTTGAAGATGCAATTTGTGATTCTATCATAAAGGAGGGAATAGTTAAATAACTATGAAGAATGAAGAAAATTAAGAATTGATAATGGACTGAAGAAGAGAAACTGCCTAGGTTTTGGTAGTTTGTTATAAGAATTTGAGAGTTAACTAAGCTTTTGGGAGTTCTTGATTGTTTATATAAAGTTGTGAGAACTGGCGTATTTCTATTATAAAGACTGGAGTTTTGGATGAAAATAGTTGGAAAGGAAATACTTGAGTACTTGAACATTTTTTCCTATATTGTTTATTATTTGAAACAGAAAGGTTAGCATTTGCTAGCAACCCATAATTCAAGGATTTATTTATATTATATCAAATCATAGGAGCTAGTTTGTTGGCCACATGAAACCACTAGATGTATGAATGATTTAATTTTGAGTCCACTATTCTATCCTTAAAAATTGGCTTCATTATATACAATCCAACTCAGAATGTGTTGCTCAAACCAATTTGAGTTCTAGATATATATATTTATATATGATTAATTCAGTCCCAAAGTATCATGTTGCTCTAATTTTATTCCGCAATTTTGGGAATTTTACATAAGGGGCTATGCTCAATATATTACAAGAATCACGCCTGAGAAGTTTTCTTGAGGAGGTTTAATGAATGGCATAGGAGGAGGAGCTGAATTGAAAGTTACATAGGTCAGTTGCAGAAGAGCTCAATAACTGATGAAATCGAGAGGGGGAAGATCCTGATAATAGTCGTAGCAAGATGA